TCGTTTGGTAGGATCTCTCATTTTTTTTTTTTTTTGGGAGGAAACTACAGAAGACCAGTTTTCTTTAGCATTTCTTCTAGCCAGACAGAATAATTCCAAAAAATTATTTAAAGAGATTCAAAAGTTGTTTTCAACTTTTCAAAATCTTACCTAACGAGCCCTACATTATCGTTAGGAAGCTACTTAAGATCAATTTTCTTTAAAAAAAAAAAATTCTAATCAGACAAAATAATTTCAAAAAATTATTTAAGACTTGTTTGAGACACATTATCTTCAAAAAAATACATTCCTCAACATTGATTTGACATCATTTCAACCACATATTTTTCAATAAAATAATGTTACATACAAATTTAAAACTTTTTCTTATTTTTTAACTACAAACTTTTATTAATTTGACATGAATAATACATTTTTTTCTTGTAACGTGGCTCAAACATGGGCGCTTAAAGAGATTCTAAAGTTCTTTTCAACTTTTCAAAATCTTACCTAATGTGTGTGACATTGTCGTGAGATACCTTCATGACAAAAAAAATATGGTGAAAAAAAAAAAAAAAAAAAAAAAAAAAAAAAAAAAAAAACTTTTAATTTTAGTTGAGTTTTCAAAAGTTGAAAAGAACAAGCTACCTAAAAACTTTATCCTTTAATATATAATGGAGTAGTCATTCATTATGTCAACTACAGTAGATGGATCATGGGACCCTCTAATTGATGAGATAGAAATTTTTTGTGGTCACAATAAAGTTCAGTACAACATATGATGTTTATGAAGTAGTTATTATGTTGAATAGATTAGGAACAGGGAAATTAAAAATGAAGGTTTTAGCTACAAGCCCTTTAGGGATACATAAGGGCAGACGCATAAATTTTTAGTTAGAGAAGTACAATTAAACTCTATATAAATCGAATATTTTATTTTATTTTTGACTGATTTATACTCGACACGAGAAAATGTAGATTTATATTTTAAAAATATTTCTTCATTAATATTTTGCTGATCATTTCCATCCATTTGATTTCGAACAATCATTTTTATTAATAATTTGCTCATCACAAGAAAATATATATTTATGTTTAAAAAATTTATAATGTATTTAATACAAACAATCAATTCAAGTGATTGAAAAGAAAAACATATAACAAATATTCAATCAAATAAATACAATTCATTAATATAAGTTAAATTGAACATAATCAATTCAGACACATTCTATGTACACAGATAGGATAAGAGAAAATGCAAATTTATGTTCTAATTACTTGGAAAATTTGATTGAAAAGTGAAAATTTGTAATAGATGTGATAATTTGTAGAAAAATTATAAACAAATTTTAAAAAATTAGAAGGGTTAAAGTTTTGATAAAAAGTGTGCTGGCGAGTATAAGATAGAGGGGGAAAAAAAAGGATTTGCATGATGATTGCTTTATTTATATATCAAATAACTCTAGTTAGGTTTAGGGCCATCTCTCGACAAACCTTAAACTTCTTTCTTGTAACTATAAATTCTTTACAGAGATATACATCATTACAAAAACGTGTTTACAACTGCCAACCACCTCCAACCATCAACATTCAAACTTAGCAAGAGAGAGACTGTAGATTAAGGTACAAACCAATAAAAGTTTGTGGGGATATGAAAAAAAAATGAAGAAAAATATAAAGAATAACTATTTCAAGAGGTAAAAATATTATATGATCTCTAACCCTTCTATTATTTTCTTCCTACTTTTCTGTCATAAATTTGGTCCAATGATGACAAAAATCCCAGTCCCGAACCCGTCCCATGAAGGAAAAATAAATAAAAATAAGCGGGGCGGGACAGGGCACCGCTGCCACCACTAATTTTGGTCATAAATAGTCGGACATTTTGTTCCCTCTGTACGCATGCTTCCTTCTGTTGAAAAGAAAGTGTAATGCATTCCCCAGCTACTAACCTTAACTCTCCTCACCAGTTAATTTTGGGGGGACCAGTGATCCAAAATAACTTTTGGAGATTAAATTTTTTAATAAATATAATTCCCATTTATAAGAATAAGTTTTTGGAAGATGGCTCAACTTGGTACTAGAGTAGGGAAAGCTGGCCAGCTCAAGTCTCGAGTAACTACCCACACCGTTTGGAGCTTTTGATGAAAATTTAAAAATAAATAAATAAAATGAATCTGGTTAGGTGAAGATGATGTTGGAAAATTACTTAGAATGCACAATGAAAAAAAAAAATCCCTTTAAAAATCCTCTTTATGTTTAGATTAGAACTCTGATTAGAATTTTACGTTCAACAAATTCTGTTAACTCCTTACTATCACAATCTTTGCATGCCTTTGTGAAATCATGATCTTTCAACATCATAATTGTTCAACCTCTAATGAAAATTCATATAAGATATTATGATTTTTCTTTCTTGTGCTATCAAGATTATGATAATTGTGAGACGTGTTATGATTTTTCAAACCCTAACTGCTTATTAAAGGATGTTTAAGTGCACTCGACTCGTCCATTAAATACAAGCTGGCATGGTTTTTCTTTTTTGTGCTATCAAGATAATGATAGTTGTGAGAAATGTTATGATTTCTCAAATCCTAACTGCTTATTAATGGATGTTTAAGTGCATTCAACTCGTCCATTAAATACAAGCCGGCCCATTAATTAATCTAATTAATTAAACTTGGTTCATAAGTTAATTAAACGTAGTAATAAACAACCGAATTAATTAATTCGGTAAATGCCCAATACTTGTCACTTAATTAAGTCATAATATGATTCTTCTAGTTCTTCTTTTTATGTGTGACCCATTAGGTTCTCGATCACTACATCGACAACGTGAATTATTATTTTGATTTAATAAAAAAATTATCAGTTAAACCTCCCCTTTAATTAATCATTAGTTCACATAGATTACTTAATTCACATTAGGCGTTCGAAATTGACATCTAGCAATATATCAAGGTTGAAAGAATCTAGAACGGTCTAGTACTACTATAAATTTTAGGATTTACCGAGTTTACGTTCCAGATTACAAATTGTTCGACCTTACGTATGGAATAAATTAACTAAAGCAACAATCACTTTAATTAGATGTCTAGGTGGTTAAACAAACAATTCAATTATCCTATGTTTGATTGCCGCAATTATAATATTGTGGAAATCAATAAATAACACAAGATATGATGATGGAGAAACCTCAACGTAGGTAAAATTTCAGGACCAAACCAGTTACCTCCACTATAGACAATTCAGAGCAAACAATGACAAGCCTATCCTTGTACCCGTTAAGACCTGCTGCCATAGCCTTACGATCTACTGCTGTAGACACCTCTAGCACTAGAACTCCTGATCTACCTCCTGTAGCCTCCTACTGTAGTAGATTCCTCTAGCCTTCTGCTAGACCTCCAAGTCTACCTCCTACAGCCCAATCAGCTGTCTCATATTCTGTACTAAGTGTCTCTCCAAAGTGGACCATCAAGAACCACAAGTTCTTGTACTTGTAACTGTACTTCAATTTACCTCTCTCAATCCCCCGGTGAGAGAGTTCCTCCTCAAAAGATTAAGGAAGATAGATGTTTCGGATTATTGGATCTTTGATGTTTTTCCCAATTTGTGGTTGTTGGATCTCAAGAATAAACAAAATGAATCAATGCTTAGACATGCTCTTGGATCTTCAAAAAGATGATAAGAATATGTTTTCTAAGAAATGCACAATGAACAACCACCCCAAAAATTCGTGCTAGACTTGGGTATTTATATTTGAAGGTGTTTTGATGGTATGGACCGAGTAAAACACTTAAAAATGCAAACTAAGGATTTTGTTCAAGCGAGGATCTATCCAGAATTGAGTGAGAGCCATTCTGTTTTTTCGCTCAGGTGAAAAGCCAGAGAAAATCGAGCGACAGCTGAGCAGTCGTCAGTGTTTTCACCATAACTTTCTTTCTTGAGATCCATTTGAGGTGATTCAATCTGTGTTGGAAAGATAACTCAAAGGGCTACAATTCTTCTATAAGAGCCTTGTCCAAATTCCAATGTGTTCTATGTGAAAAATGCATTGCAAATTGCAACTTAGAATTTGGAACATAACTTGTATTGTGTGGCTCTTTAATATCTTTTAGACTTCTAATTGAATTCCGATGGTCAATGTGATCTTCTTGGACATCTTGGACTCCTTCAATGACTCAAACACTAATTTACCTCATCTATTCAAAATTGCAACTAAGTCCTTGACTTTTACAAGTGTCAATTTAGTCCATTTTGTTTACAGAATTGCCAATTACAACATTGGACCTAACAAAGGTAATACATGTAATGAGAAATATCATGTGATGTGACAAAATCAAACATTTTTGTTTATCGTAAAATTATAATCTCTCTTTAATATGATCTGATCAACTACGAGATATGAAAGAGTGTCAATCTCGATTTTCAATCATATTTTTCATCTCGCCCTTAAGTAAATAATCGTTGAAACTCTTTTCATCTTATGAACTTACATTGGCCAAAGATTTCATTCTCAACTTAACCAAATGAAACATAGATCATAAACTTCTACTACATAAGAATGACGAATCCTCTATTGATCATTCATAACTTTCATATGATTATAAACATACTCGAACGATGCCATATTAATGACTCTTGACAAAGCAACGTACAACAAAACACCCACTCGTTCATTTTAAATGTCACTACACTTTAGCTTGTAGGATGAGTTGCTCATTTCATAAGTGAGAAATATCACAGATGCTTGTATATTCATTATAACAATATCCGCATCACATTATTACTTATGACGACAGATAATTTAAGATTTAATTATACGTAATTTGTATCCTATAATCAAAACTCTTTGTGAATAACAAGTTATTAAGATTTGAATCTACGTACCATAATTTAAATAATAGAATAATAATTCAATTAAATTATAGATCTACAATAAATAGAATACATTAAATATATTAATACTGGACCTATAGTACTTACAGACGAAACTAGGTTGAAGTTTTTAAAGAATTGGTCCAAATTTAAGTCGTAACCACTTGCAACCGGATAACATTAAAACCCCGAATTAGTCATCGTCAGTGGAATCCAATGTAAGTGAAAAGACTAAAGACTACGTTTGATCCTTAGCTGCAATGCACTTGATCAGTTGTCAGTAATTTTGGTGGGTACCATACAGGAAAACAATTGTGTTCACTCGTTTCCAGCGATAAATTTATAAGTTTTATCAAAAAAAAAAAAAAAATCAAATTAAATTAAATCAAATCTTTGAAAATGAGGCTATAAAATCATGAGAGTGCTCAATGTAAATCTGCATCACACTGTCTGCATAATTGTTTCATATCCACATTGTATTGAAATTTTAACAGTCAAGAATAAGAAATGGTATTAACTGGTAAGTTAATTGCTCAGTTAGAGTTCAAGGCTGGTGGAGACGTGTTTCATGAATTCTTCAGGCATAAGCCACATCAGTTGGCCGATGCCTGCGTTGGAAAGGTACATGCTTGTAACTTGGTTGAAGGAGAATTCGGAAATGCAGGCTGCGTCGTGTTTTTCAAATACTCCCAAGGTAATCCAATATTTACTTGCGAAAGATTGCACTTATTGCATTTGTTTAGTACGTTCGACTATATAGAATTGAAGATAACAGACAAATTTAGTTGTGTGCCTCAGTGCCTTCCATCTTCAATTGTGTCTAATACTCTATAATTTTTAAGCACCAAACATTCTTCAGTGATCAATCGAGCAAGTGACAGCATGAATATTTAGGTTTCTGAATAACCCTAAACTTTGGCATCTTCAGTGTCCCATAATTATTGAGGATATAGCTTTCCCCTTTGAACTTAGCCAGGAATTTGTTTTGTACTTAACATTTATCACGTATTTTCATGCACGGCTGGGTTGTCAAAGAGTGTTATTTGACTCTATTTTTTTGTTGATAAAATCGGCTAAAATCGATTTTTTTTTTTGGGTAAAAATGAGTAATCAATAATTCATGGATAAAGTCAAATGAGAGTATACCGTCTTTATTATGTCAAGACATTAAGTTTTTGTTCTAATAAATGTAATAATTCATCGAAAAGTTTTTTTATATCATGATCTAATTAACTGAATATGTGGAAATAATTTTTTAAAAATTTCATTTTTTTATACTCATTTTCAATGACATTTTTCGGGGAAAAAATCATTTTTCATGTTTTCCATAATTTTTTTATATTTTAACCACACAATCTCCCAAAAAAAAAAGAAAAGAAAAGAAAAAAGTCATTTTTTTTCAAAAGTCATTTCTATCGAAGCATTAATATTTTGTACATAGTACTTTTAGTTTTCAAAGCCCATATAATTTTATTTGTGGATTAAGTGCTTGTTTGGCCCTTTTTAAAATTTTAAATTGTTTGTTACAGTATCATTTTTCATTACACATTCACACAATAAAATATTTTACATACAAATCAATATAAGTTTCTTTAATTTTTTAACTACACATTCTCCCTAAAATACTATTCAAAATTCTTTAATTTCCCAAATAATGGATGACAAACAGGGGCTAAATATTTGTGATTATATAAACAGATGGAAAAGAGCAGAGTGCAAAAATGGTGCTCGACTCCATTGATGAAGAGAAAAAGGCATTGGTTGTTAAGGTCCTTGAAGGAGATGTTATGAAACTTTACAAGTCGTTCACTATAACTGTTCATGTTGAAACAAGAGATGGGATCGACCATGTTACATGGACTTTGGAGTACGAGATGATAAGTGAAGATGTTCCGCATCCGATTTCGTGGTTGGCTTATTACATAGATATCACAGTAGATGTCGAAACTCATCATCTCGGAAAACATTAAATGCTTGGTTTCATCAATGAAAAGATTGTCGTATTGTGTACTAAAAATTAATATGAATTTGTCATCGAGTGATGTCTTGGTAAGGTATGTTATAATATGAATTTGTCATCAAGATGAACCTTCTGTGTGTGATATGTTAAGTATTTTTCCTCCTATCAAGGATAATGTTTGTATCTGATTTGTAATGTTATAAGTTGTCCTAATATTTTTCAGTCATGTTTTTAAAAAAATGCAAGATTTCCGTGGTTGAACACTGTGACTACTCCCTTGGAGCCCAACTCTGAATCAATCATCTACTAATATCATGTTTGGTTAAGCTTATGCTAAGAAATGAGTACCTATCTTATGGTGAAGCCTCCGTTTGGACCAAAAAAAAAATTATAAAAAGCATAATTTTTATATAGATATAAGTGAGTAGCGATAGATAAAAATAAAGTTTGACCATTCATAATTAATAATATAACTTCGATCGACCAGAAGCAAAAAGATAAGCATCAAAATTGATGCTTACCAATAATTTAGTCTAGAGGGAGCATAAGAGAAGTATTTAAAAAAAAAAATGATAATAATCAAGAATTTTAAAATAGTCCTTTAATCAAGAATATTAAATAGTCCTTTAATGGTTTTCATGCTTCGTAGATGTTGCACAATGATTTCGTTTATATCAATAATCCATTTATTTGTATATGCTCTTTGATTATGGTGTGGAACATTAATGTTATAACCCATAATCAAATTTTTAGTACCGGATATTTAACAAGTTGTGTAACAACAATACTACACTACATATATGATTTGTTTACGTCATTGTTTTATTCCTTTTGAAATAGAAATATTCTTTTAAATTATTGCCGTTCCATTATTTTTGCATATTTGAGTCCAACACATGAAAGAAAAATTAAGAAAATATTTGAATAAAATTTACAAATTAAAGGCTATGAAGTTGCAACAAAAATTCTTGAAATACTAGTCAACACCCTTAAAGAAATAATTGCTCCAATTTGAAAATTAAAACTAGTTAAGATCAATTTTCAATAATAAATGAACCACATATAATATAATAGAAATATCAAAACAAAAAAGTTAAGGGACAAGTGTAGGATAAATTTATTATCTTAAAATCACCGAATCTTCATGTTGGATCATCAAAAAATTCAAGAATTATAACGGAAGCGTACCTGAATCAGACATGGTTAATGCATTAATTAAATATCGCGATTTACTCTTCTAAATCAATATGTAGCCCGTGATTCTCTTTGACGATGAGAGGCAGAACAAAATGAGCAATGTGATTTGGGGACCATAACCATATTTATATATTGGTGCCCTTTGACCTAATTCGATCCATCATGGAATTATGAATTTGGGCCTGGTCTCTACATATAAAATACACACACTTTAATTGGATGCATTAAAACCTAAAATACCGAAGTCTTATTGGATCACTTTTAAATGGGCTCAATCGAATTTGATAGCTTTTGATTCAATACACAATAATTTACACATATAAACCCGCACGATTGTTTAAAATTCCTTACAATCTCCCACTTGGGCTATATGTATCACCTTATAATTGTGCATAAAAAATAACCTTATGAGTACTCAAAATTTTTCTATCATTATCGAATGCATCCCCAAACAATCCAATCCATCAATCACATCAACATAGTATCAAAGAGACTTCCGTTACTTTAATTGCAACTAAACCCATCAACGGTCACATATATCATTATAACCGAATGACATGGATCAGGCATGAATGTGTAGCATGGAAATTACATGTGATGTGATCTGTAACATGACTATTTCCAATTGGTCCACCTTAATACCTCTGTGAGATCATTTTAAATAAGTTCAAAGATAATAAACCAAATAAACCTTATAACTGAAAAATAACTTTAACCATAAAAACTATATCCAAAATAACAGTACATGTGTCCAATATGAAAAGTAAAAATACAAACTCCCACTGAAATTAGATATCTTCAAGAGATATTATACCCATATGAGCAGTGTGTTCATGAAAGACCTTGGGTATTAATCCCTTAGTAAGCAGATCCGCAACCATGGAGTTTGTCCCAATATACTCTATGGACACATATCAACTCTGAACTCTTTTTTTAACAGTCAGGAACTTGATCTCTATATGTTTTGATTTCGTTGAGCTCCTGTTGTTATTGGAATATAACACTGGTGATTTATTGTCACAAAATATCTTGAGCGGTCTTTCTATATTGTCCACAATGCACAGTCCATTGAAAAAATTATGCAGCCATATTCCATGATTTGATACCTCAAAACACACTATAAACTCCGTTGTCACGGTGGAAGTAGTTATGAGTGTTTCCTTAGCACTCTTCCAGGAAATAGCACCTCCAGCAAGCAGGTAAATATAGTCTGAAGTGAATCTCCTACTATCTTAGTATCCTGCGAAATCGAAATCAGAATAACCGACGATCTCCAATTGATCAGATATCTTGTATGTGAGCATATAGTCTTATGTTCTCTGTAAATACTGCATAACCAATTTGGCTGCTTTCCAATGATCCATTCTCGGTTACTTAAATATATCCCTAGCATCCCAACAATGTAGGCTATATCTAAACGCGTACAAATCTAAGCATACATCAGACTCCATATAGTTGAAGAGTAAGGAATCTTCTGCATTTCTTTGATTTCCAAGTCATTTTTAGGACATTGACCTAAACTGAACTTGTCTCCTTTAGCCACAAGTGTGTCACCTAGTTTAAAATCTTACATCACATATCTTTTAAGTACCTTTTCGATATAGCTCTTTTGTGATAATCCAAGAATACCCCAGGAACGATCTCGATGTATCTGAACTCCTTATACAAAAGAGGCGTCATCAAGATCTTTCATCTCAAAATTCTTTACTAGAAATCTCTTGATTTCGTGCAATAAGCCTATATCGTTGCTGGCAAACAATATGCCATCGATATGTAAAATCAGAAAAATATACTTGCTCCCACCGACCAAATTCATCTCAAAATCAAATGAGATGATCACTTGAGGAAACTTATAATACCATTGACGAGACATCTATTTGAGTCCATAGATTGATTTCTTTAATTTACAAACAATTTGCTTTGCATCATCTGATATGAAATTTTTCGGTTGTACCATCTAAATTGTTTCATCAATGTCACCATTGAAAAACGCTGTCTTAACATCCATCTAATGTAACTCAACATCGAAATGCGCTACCAATGCCATTATAGTCCTGAAAGAGTCTTTCGAAAAAATCGGAGAGAAAGTCTCCTTATAGTAGATGCCTTCTTTTTGTATAAAGCCCTTTACGACAAGACGAGTCTTATACCTCTCTACATCACCCTCCGAATCCCTTTTGATCTTAAATATCTATTTGCAAACCAATGGGTTTCGTACCTTCAAGTAATGGAATGAGGTCTTATACGTCATTGTCCTTCATGGACTTTATCTCTTCATTCATGGCATCTTGCCACTTTTAAGAGTTAGAACTTTCCATAACTTAACGGAAGTTGATCGGATTATCTTCCACCATTCCAATGTCAACTTCATGTTCTTGGAGAAATACGATGTAATCATCTGAAACCGCACTTCTCCTCTCTCTAGTGGATCTTCTTAATGGTATTGGTTTTTGAGGCTATAAAGTTTGGTCTTCTGGAACAATTTGTTGACCTTGAGAGAGAGATACGACATTGTCTTGATCCAGAGTTTCTTTTTGAACAATGTTAGGGATAGAAACCTGACCATTGTCAGTGGAAATTGAAGGAATTTCAACCTATTTCTCCTCAAAGACAAAGTCTGTAACCCTTTCTCCTCCCGTGAACTCAACATTCTCAAAGAATCGAGCATTTTCTATCTCGAAAATTGTCTTAGTTGTGGGATCATAAAACTTGTAATCCCTGGACCTTTCAGAATATCCAATAAAGTAGCAACTAATGGTCCTTATGTCCAGTTCCTTTTCATTTAGATTATAGGGTCTTGCCTCAACTGGACACCCCCAAAGGTGTATATACTTCAAACTACGCTTCTTGTCTGTCCAAAGCTCACAAGGGGTTTTATCAGTGGCCTTAGTCGGAACTATGTTGAGTATATACGATGCGGTCTTTTATGCTTCACCCCGGAGATATTCTGGTAAGGTAAAATGATTAAGCATACTCATCACCATGTCCTTAAGTATTCTGTTTTGTCTCTCAGCAACACCATTTATAGTGGGTAAACTCAGCATAGTGTACTGTGGGATGATACCGCATTCCTCTAGAAATTTAGCAAATGGTCCTAGACGTTGTTCACCTGAACTGTCATATCTACCAGAGTATTCACCCCCACGATTAGATCTGACGCTTTTAATCATTTTGCCGAGTTGGTTCTCAACTTTGACTTTATAGTTTTTGAACACATCCAGTGACTGTAATTTTTCATGAATGAGATATATATAACCATATCTTGAAAAGTCGTATATGAACGTTATAAAATATTGTTGACCATTTAAAGAACCCATAGGGAATAGTCCATAAATATCCATATTTATAAGTTCTAAAACATCTGAAGTCCTATTGGCTTGAAATCTCTTTTTATTGGTTTGTTTTCCTTTTATATATTTGACACATAAATCATAATCTCTGAAGTTAAGAGTGTCAAGAATTCCATCAGACACAAGTCTTTCAATTCTCCTCCTGAAGATGTGACCTAATCTCTTGTGCCACAACGATACAAAATTCTCGCCGTTTAATTTTCGCTTTACACCTTGATTATTTATATGCAAAGATTCATTAAAAGAAGCAATTGTATCAATTGAATAAAAATTATCGTAACCTGATAAAGAATCGAAACCAACCAATTTTGAATCATGAAACAAACTAAAATTTTCATTTCTAAATGAATAAGAATAACCAAATTTGTTCAAATTAGAAATAGAAATCAAATTTTGTCTAAAAGACGGTACAATAAATGTCTCATCAAGATCCAAATAAAAATCAGTCTTTAACAATAATCTAAATTTTCCTATTGCCTCTACTTCCATCGTCTTGTCGTCACCAATATAGATGTATCTTTCACCGTTACTTGGTTTTCGACAGCTCAAGCAACCTGGCATAGGCACACTGATGTGAGTTGTTGTACCAGAATCTGTCCACCATGTGTGCCTAAGTACCGAAATTAAATTAACATCAGAACGAACCAAATGAAGAAAAATATTATTCTTTACACGCCATGCGTATTAATTGGTGCAATTATTCCTCGTATGACT